TGTCCAATTAGAGTAACACATCATAGCTGCGCATACACTTCACTACCTTCTACCAGGACCGTATATACCACCCAGTCGAAATATTTGGGCAGTGACTCCCACATCACAAGCCAGATGTAACCACCCTTCCTCAGCAGCCATCCTTGCTTTTGCCGATTCAGTTATCGGCCTTGGTCGAAACCTGCCATATGATAATATGCATAAATCTAGGATGACTACTCTGAACGCAGCAAAGAGATTTAAATGCTTGGCTAATGTAAACTTACTCTTCATCAACCCATGCACCACCAGAGTCGCCATAAACACCTATTAGTCCAAAAGAAAAAACGAAATTCTCAGGATCAACAGTCAATACTCAATAACATAACTTTGCGCATACAGTCTGTTTAAAGAATCTTTTACCATGTAGCAATGTAAATACCTACACTTTGGTTTATCCAAGGAAAGAAGCTAGCATGTCACAGGGATACAGAGTTATCAAAGGCAGGCTTAAAGCACGCTTAAGCCCTAAAGCGAGGCTCAAAATATGTTGAGCGCTTCGCCTCGCTTAGCGGGCGCTTCAGTGTTGTCATTGAGGCTCTAAGGCAGACTTTTCCTTGCCAATGAGTGTAATCCTGAAGAGGCCCCACTAAACAATTCATATTTCACTTTATCGTAAATTTTCTCTAATTTCTTTGTCCATATATTTGGTATTCATGCTTATAGATATTAGTCTTGGACTACACATACATATTTGTAGTTTTTCTCCATTTGCGCCTTTCTTCGTTAAAGTCCACACTTTATTTTGCATTTTGCGGTTAAAGCCCCAACAAACCTTAGAGTTTTTTTGCACTTTTCACCTTTGATAACACTGATGGGATATATGTTCTTTTCAGAATATATAACCAGAAATATACTGGTACTCCCTCCATCTCAACAAGCCGACCACCTTCACTTTTAGCTTCCCAAAAACTCGAGCTCTTTCTTCAATAGAAAAGTTTTGGGCACAATACGACATTGGCCGAAACTAGTTTGCATTCGCTAGCCAAAAAATGTATAAAATATGTATATTATATGTATGTAATACACACATACACAAAAAAAAATATACATTTTGTCAGATATTATTTTAGGAAGCGGCTAAAAATATACATTTTTCAAAAGTTTTTTCCCTCAAGTAATTTAGATCAATATAAACTTATACTAATTCATACATTGTTTCTAACTTGATTTGACATCATTCCTACAAATTGTTCCATTTGTTCACATCTCAAACAATTTATTAAACTACTTTTCCTATACCAGCCTCAATATAATAGCCCACCAAAATATTTTATTATAATAAAGCTGGGGGACAAATCAGGTTTAGCTTTTCAGAAAGGCGCAAATGGAGAAAAACTACAAATATGTATGTAAAAGGTAGATATACTTCTCAAAGTAAAAGGTAAACACACTGACCCATATAAGTCATTTATTTATTTTTTGGCCATTCGTTTGATAAGTGACTACAAAGATAGATAAGCAAAGAAGTACACTTCAATGGACTTGAGCAAAGAAGCAATAAGAACTCAGCTGGCATTTAATTTCGATGAAAGCCAAGAAAACAATTAAGGTTGCTCTTTTATGTTGTTTTTGTTTTCAGATGTTGCTGTAACACCTGAATTGACAAACTAATCTCTCCACGGGAAAAAGAAAAAGAAACACATGAACGTTCTTCATTCAACCAATGGCTTCAGAGAGATCCATTTTTCACCGATATAGTTGTAATTGCCTTAGAGAAAGCAAAGTCACATTTACGTAATTTCCTACTTTTCAAAACAATTTTTTCCTTTCTGTAAAGAGAAAAAAAGATGAAGAAAAAGAATGTACCAAGTACTCTTGGAGAGGAGATCTTGAAGAAAAAGGATTTTCAGTTCACCTTGATAATTGTGTTAGGTAAAAATCAGACTTTTGAATAATACAAATGCACATAGCTTCCAGCATGAGTGACAGAATAACGTACTCGTTGATGACAAGTAACCAAGCCACTGGAGGTTACCATCCTTCAGTCTTTCTTTTAGGAGCTCTTTATGCTGAAGCATCTGCAGTACACGCAACTATTAATGGACATAAAAGCAAGTAGAAAGGTAAGTAAAAAACTTCAAAAGTTTTTCATGATATCATACAGCTCGCTTCCGGATTCAACAGTTTTTTGAAGGTCCCAAGTTTTATGGCTTCTGTGCATGAACTTACCTTATTGTTAGATTCAAAAGTTAACAATGTTCGATTTAACAATGTTCCTAACTGTTGAACATAATATCGAGACTGTCCCTAAGAAGAACTCTAACACCTAAAGAAGCAGAAAAAAAATTAAGAAAATTTTTTAAAAAGACACCATAATTAACTTCCCTATTTTAGCTTTTATTTTTAACGCATAGTTCATATTCATATCATGACAGAGAAAATGTCATTGAGGAACATTTACAATTAACACCCATCAACAAAAATGTTGACATGGGAGGTCCTACAATTAACACTGCCTATGCCTGTCATATTGCTTACTAAAATTGTAGCATAACATTGAGCAAATTTACCGGATCACCAACACCCAAAACTGGAGGGATGGAGATAAGAAGGTGTGAGTGGCATTTCATGATATCAAGGACCTCAAGTCTGAAAGATAGAGCAGAAATACTAATCAGAACAGAGGGAAAGATAGGAACAGGGTTTCTTCTAAAAACCTACTGACAAACATGGAGGCTTAAATATGTGACCGCTACCACTCACGCCTAGACCCGAAATCAATCAACACATTAGTAAAGATAAATGAAAAAGGACCAAACTGTGACCTTTTTACTTGATAAAAAAGACCAAACTTTGACCTCATTAGGATGAAAGTAACTGATACAGAAAAAGTGAGAGAAGAACTGCCAAAGAGACTTAATTTGCTCTATAAGAAAGAATTTTATCGTTCACTCCATTCAGCTAAGTAGTGTAAAGGGGTAAATACAAAAGGAACAACCAGAGATCAGTTCAGGAGTTCTTGGCTATTAAAATCTTCCTTTCAAATCTTCTGATTCCACCAATTCGAAGTTTAAACATTATTACATTTATAATTAAGATTTCACTTGCCTAGTTAAGCATAGCCACATGATTTGCTTCTTTCCATTAGCCTCTTAGAATTCGATTTTTCTACTGTTGTTTTCATTATAAGATGAGAATAAGCCAGTCTTTTTTCTAGCGCTTATTGCCTTTGACAGTATCATGCAGAATAAAATCCCAAGGCAGTCACTCATCCCTAAACTGATACATGAGGAATTCAGGAAATGACCACCAGCAGCCAGATGGGTTGGTTCATTCATATTCAGCTTCAGACAAAATTTGCGGCAACGAACTACCTTTCTATGTTATTATGATAAAGTTGAGGGCGAGCTTGGCACAATAATAGTGTTGCTCCTTTGGTGAGATCACACAAGTTCAAGGCGAAAGCTACCTTCAGTAGCCAGGGAGCAGTAATAGAAGCCCCAATGTCCCCTCCCCCCTCCCATACCTATTCCCATTCCCATTACTTAAAGAGGAATGTCTATGCCTAGACCAATGAATATTCATTTGGGGGGGATGTCTGGAAAACTCACTGTGGTTCATTGGCGTCAAATATATGAGCATGGAACCCCATTTCCTCTAATTTCTGTTTCCGGGCAGTAGTAGTACAACTTCCTGTAACTTCCCTACACAATTCAGAAATGTTATACAAATGGTCAATCTCCAATATGTACTATAACAGCTCGCTTCTTTCACGACTTCAACTAGTACGGAAAGAAGAAAAAAGATAAAGTGGAAGGTTTATTTACCATCCTTCGCTCTTCAAATCTGCAGCCAAGAATTGTCCTACGAAACCCATGCCCAGTAGGAACATTCCATTTTTGGAATCTGGTTTCTTAGTGCTCGATTCGTTACCTAGACTGCACCTGATATAGGGGCAAAACAATAGCGTTTTAATAGAGGACACTCCGGCAGTTTGAACCTGCCGGAGTTGAATTAACGCCGGCTGGCTTGGTAGCCGGCAAATCTCCATTAAAATGGCTCTACTCTGAAACTTTCAGGTAGTGGTTAATCAGAGGTACTGGTCTCTCAGTTAAGTGGAAAGCCGAAAGCTCCAAGCCCATCCCAAAGCGCTTTTGGGCTCAATAATAGTATGGCCCGTATCAGTGACTTGGTGCTATTGGGCCTCAATAGAAAGCCCAAGAAGAACGACGGTTGCACAACTCAGAAGTCATCACCTTTGCTTGTAGTTTCATGGCAAATACATAGTCTATCCCCTAACTTGGACGCCAAATCTGGCAGACAGAGCTAGAGGCAGACTGGATTTAAAAGTTGTGAGGTACTATTATCCAATAAAAATTTAGGCAAATGTTAGAGCCGGAATCAAACTCAGACAACACACTAAAAGTCAAATTGTGTCCCAAATCGGCCAATGCATCAGCTTAAGACTTAAATTTTAGGATGCTAATTAAAATATATATTCCTGTTATTTAAGACACACACACACCTCCTACCCTTTGGATAGGTCCGTCTTTGACACAGTTGTGGTCCAACGGACTTTTTACACACTCAACATTTTAGACTGTCTGAGATACACTGTTCTTGTGCTTGATCACTTGTATCACACGCCAATTAAAATATGACACATGTCATTACGCAAAAGAAAAAGGAAAAAACTTAATTTACATCCCAATTAATATTTTTTTAAGAAAATGAAAACATAAAAGAATCCCCTCCCCCACCCGTCTCTCAGCTTCTCCTAAGAACTTTTGTCCAAAAAGGTTTGAATTGGTCAACTTAGTATAAGTAGTACGATATTTCCAGGTAAGTGTTGCTTTTATGAATATCGGCTGTAGTATTTAATTTAGGTCTTTGGGTCCTCCCATTACATATTTGATGCTCCAGTCAATTTTGTAGAGCTGCTTGAAAGGTCTCCACACGCTTTCTCGCCTACAAAATTTCCTTATGCCAACAGTTAGGGCGGACCAATTGCCTATAAAGCCTACATATCTTTTGTACGTGAGAAATTAGCAAATTCAGTGACAGAAATTGTTCTTACCAACTATTTCTTTCAATTGTTGCTTACTCTTCGATTTTTCATGTTTTTATTATTTTTTACCTCCACCAAGTGAATTTTCATTTTATTCTGAATAAAGTACAGTGGGTGTTTAATAATCATTCTCCGGTTTTTGGGATGTCCAAATGCAATGTCCAATTGCTTGTAGTTAGATTAGATTCAACTGGATAAAAGAGAACAACTGCAATAACGACGGGTCTGGCAGTAGACACAATATTTAATGTCAAAGCGTCAACCTACCAAATTATTTAGTGATTAAATAATACTATATGGTGATTGATCAATTATTCCTGTTGACTTTTATTACAACAAACCTTTCTTCTTTCACTTATTCCTACACGCATTCACGTTGAAACTTTCTTCTTCCAATTAAAACTCCAACCTCCAATCTTTTGAAACATTATTATGCCGCGTTGATATAATTTCTGCTATGCTTATACAAACAACAATCTCTTGAACTCCTCTTTTTTCTCTTTGTTTCTTCTGAGCTGAAAATGAATTATTATTCTCATCTCATCAGTGTATTTACCATTATTCTTGCTTCTTCCTCTGTTTCAATTCTTGCACAACAGCCTTACATTGGAAAGGGAACAAACGTCTGCAGCAGCCAAGATAACTCCAATTCTGCTTTTGGGTACTTTTGTAATGGCGTTAACCGCAGCTGCCAATCTTATTTGACCTTTAGATCTCAACCCCCTTTCACTTCAGTGGCCTCAATCTCTTCTCTACTTGGTGCTGACCCTTTGGAGCTTTCTCAGCTCAATTCAGTTGCTCAAAATGCCACCTTTGACACAAACCAAATGGTTCTTGTTCCTGTCACGTGTTCTTGTGCAGGTCAGTATTATCAGGCAAACACATCTTATGCCATAAAAAAGGATGATACTTTCTTAACCATTGCAAATAATACCCTAGAAGGCTTGTCTACTTGCCATGCTATCAACGCTGAGAACAAAGAACAAGCTACTAATCTGGTTCTTGGTTCAAGAATTAATGTTCCTCTTCGATGTGCTTGTCCAACAAAGAATCAAACTGATGATGGTACAAAATATCTGCTTAGTTACTTGGTTACTTTTGGAGAATTTGTTTCCCTCATTAGTGATAAATTTGGGGTGGACACTAGAGCAACACTTGCTGCTAATGGACTATCAGAAAATGATGCTACTATTTTTCCATTCACTACTCTATTAGTTCCTCTTTTGAACCCACCTGTGAGTTCCCAAGTTGTAGGAAATTCTCCACCGCCGCCTCCTCCATCAGCACCAACACCACCTGCTGTTCCTGTATCAAATAATGGCTCAAAGAAGACTTGGATATATGTTGTGGTTGGTGTTGTTGGAGGAGTCGTCGCTTTGTCTCTTTTGGGGGTGGTTATTTTCTTCTTCTTCTTTAGGAAAAGGCAAAAGAAAGCTGATCCACAGTTTGTTTCTGAAAGTTTTGAATCAGTTGAGAAACCATTAAATAAGAAAGTTGAAGATGAGTCTGAGGAGTTCTTGGAAAGTTTATCCAGTATAGCTCAATCTGTTAAGATTTACAAATTTGAAGAGATCAAAACAGCCACAGAAAACTTCAGTCCTACATGTTTGATTAAAGGATCTGTTTATCGGGGCACGATCAATGGTGATTTTGCTGCTATAAAGAAAATGAGTGGTGATGTATCCAAGGAAATTAATTTGCTGAGCAAAATCAACCATTTTAATCTTATTAGCCTCTCAGGAATTTGTTTTCAAGATGGCCACTGGTATCTTGTTTATGAATATGCTGCCAATGGACCATTAACTGATTGGATATGCCACCAGAATAGTGATCAGAAGTCTCTTAATTGGACACAAAGAGTACAGATTTCTCTTGATGTGGCCACAGGGCTTAACTATTTGCATAGCTACACATCCCCTCCTCATGTTCACAAGGATCTAAACGGTAGTAATATTCTTCTGGATGGCGATTTAAGAGCCAAGATTGCTAATTTTGGTCTAGCAAGGTCAGCGGATGGAGAAGAAGGTGAGTTTGCCTTGACAAGGCACATAGTTGGGACCCAAGGTTACATGGCTCCTGAGTATTTGGAGAATGGTCTAGTCTCCCCAAAGCTGGATGTTTATGCATTTGGAGTTCTGTTGCTGGAAATTCTCACTGGAAACGAAGTTTCTGTTCTATATGAAGGCTCGAGTACAAACTTGACTGATGTGTTGATCCCTGTGCTTCATGATGAAAATACTAAGGAGAATCTGAGCAACTTCATTGATCTTTCTCTGCAAGGGAAGTACCCTGCGGAACTTGCCATTGCCATAGTCAGATTGATCGATAACTGCATAAAGAAAGATCCTTCTCATCGCCCTGGTATGGATGAGATTGTCCAATCTCTTTCAAGAATTATGACAGCGACACACTCTTGGGAATTGTCATTTAGCATTTCAGTATCACCACAAAGATTGCCCTAAGCCTAGATCAATGAGTGTAAGCTTTATTTATTTATTTTTTTTTTTTTGGGTTTCCCTCCTCCCACGTCTAGCACGATATGCTATGTGCATAATGTTATTACCTTATTGATGGATTTTGAAGAGCTATTGCACCAATTACCCTACATAAATATCAGTTTAACATTTCAATCAAGCCACCTTATGTTCTCTCAGTTATGTTCTTTCTAGCTCTGTGTAATGCATGTAGTCCTCCTCATGTTCCAGATATTCCAGGGGGTAAAGATTTAACCTAATAAAATAGAGCGACATCAAACATAATAAATGTCTTGCTAACCGGTAAACCCCTAAAACAAAATACATGAAACAGGACTAAACTTACCTTAAAACATGGATGAAGACAGCAACTTGCTGGCATTACCTTGCAGTGGCAATATATCATTGACCATGTCCTTTGTTTCATATTGTCGGTAGCTATACAACTTGTGAACACAATAGAGCAACCTTTTATCAAGCCATTGTGTGTAGTGTAGCCTGGGTATAAGCTGTGTTGAAGCTGTAGGTTCAGCTACACATAAAACATACATCAAGTATAAAGAAAAGATAATTGATTGAAGGAATATACCTGTTTGTATGTTCCCACTGATGCCACAACATTCGACTAATCTAGCCGTCTGAAAACCAGTAATTAATTAGATCATCTTTGACTTGTAGAATTCGCAGATCAAGAACCATAAAGTATATGAAGGCTTTTGCACATGATGATGGCATAGGTACGGGGTCAGCCTCCGGAGAAAAATGGAAACGTTGACTATTAGCTTTCAAATCCAATGATTAAATGCATATCTAGGAGCATTATGTGAAGGCAAGGCCGGCCGGCTAGTTGTTTAAATTAATTTAATTTAATTTAACATAACTTTTTGAAAAGGCCAGCAGCCTAGTGGTTATTATTATTATTATTGTTGTTAAGCGAGTACCCTTGGGAATTTAACTAGCGCGATTAATGCTTATCCAAGCCTCTTGTAACTCAATGGATTTATTATTAGTATATTTAAGTGGTGATCATTTTCGACTGAAAAAAGCTTAAATGGAGCTACGTAGATAGTGAGGAGTCATATAGTTGATCCCAATTTGGCTGAGAGGCATAATTTTGTTACTGAGACGAGCTTAAATAGAGCAATATAGAAGCCAACCCCAATTTTCTTGGGATTGAGTCGTGGTTGGTATTGTTTATATTAAGTTGTGATCATTTTGGACTGCAACGATTTAAATGAAGTGATATGAACAATGTGTGAAATAGCCGATCCCAACTTGCTTGCGATGAAGCACAGTATCTTTGTTTATATTAAGTTGTGATAAGTTACCGACTTCTATCTTAGTTGGTTTTAGTAAAACAATATCATTTGGCATACAACGATTTCAATTTTCAGGATAAATTGCCTATTCCTGGATTTGTTGCAGATGATGCCTTTAATAAGCAGCTGCATCTTAGTTTCTTGCAAAACTGTACAAAGCACCAGACCCACTCATCAAAGTTAAGTCAACAGCTGATGATGCAATACAAAATTTTCTTAGACAATATTGCAATTAGACCATAAATCACCATTTTGAAACTTCCCTCATATGCTAGTAATTGTTTAATACTTGTTAAATGTGGAAGGCTTCAATGGTTGTTAGATGAAAAGGTCGTTTAACTAGTAAATTACTCCAGATCATAAGTGGTCTACATCAATGTGGTAGCATCAATTTGTCAATGACATACGAGTTTGACTTTACACAGAAGACCATTTTATGTTTTCACTTGACTTATAGAGCCCATAAGAGCATGAACCTCAACTTTCTGTGTTGCCACTGAATCACTCTGAACCAATAGAATACCATGGAAAATTTTCTGCTTATTCTTTTCTTAAGTTTCACAATTCTATCTTCAAAGGTCTATGCCCAGCAAAATTATTCAGGCAATTCTGTCATGAGTTGTAAAGGAACCAATGAAACAGGAACTTCTGCTTCTTTTCTCTATTCTTGCAATGGTGAAAAGCTCACCTGTCGAGCATTTCTGATTTTTAGATCACTCTCTCCTTATAATTCAGTATCTTCCATTTCAAGTCTCCTAACTTCGGACCCTGATGAGATTGTCCACATCAACAACATCTCAAGGTCTGAAATCTTGGATCAGAACAAAGAACTTATAGTTCCAGTAAATTGTTCATGTTCAGGCCAGTACTATCAGGCTGACACCTCTTATGTTATACCAAGCAAATACGACACCTATTTTACAATCGCAAACAACACGTATCAGGGGTTGTCTACTTGCAATGCTCTTGTACATGAAAATGTATACAATCCCATGGATTTGCTTCCTGGTCTAAATTTGCGAGTACCACTCAGATGTGCCTGCCCTACAAAGGATCAGGCTAGAAATGGTGTGAAATATCTGCTGACTCATTTGGTTACTTGGGGAGACAATGTTTCTACCATTAGCGCGCAGTTCAGTATCAGTAGTCAAAGTACAGCATATGCAAATGGATTTTCTGAAAATTCAGTTCTTTATCCTTTCACAACTATATTGATACCTCTGCCAAAAGAACCTTCAAGCTCCCAAACAAGGACTATTAATAGAGCAAGGACTGAAATCAATTACCCTTCAAAGCACAAAATATCATACAAAAGTCTTTTTATTGGGGTAGGAGCTGGTATTTCCGTTGCAGTCCTTTGTTTTATCTTATTCATTGTCTTAAAGCATAAAAAGGAAAACAAAGGAGGTGAAGTAGTGCTTGGGAAAGGAAGAGAAGGGAAACAAAAATGGAACTTAACAGAACATGTCCTGGAAAGGATAGTTGGTGTGGATCAGATAATAAAAGTCTTTGAATTTGAAGAACTGGTAGCTGCAACTGAAAACTTCAGCCCTCGAAAAAGACTTGGTAATTATGTTTATAAAGGGTTCGTTCGAGGAAAGTTGTCAGCCATTAAGGAGATGAGAACAGACATATCGAAGGAGGTTAAGTTCTTTTCAAAGATCAACCATTTCAATTTAATTAGCCTCACTGGTGTCTGTAAGCATAATCATCTATCCTTTCTTGTTTTTGAGTTCATGGAAAATGGATCCTTAAAAGACTGGCTTCACAAGGATGATAATCCAGAGGCTGAGAGCTGGAACTTCAGAATTCGTATTGCCTTAGATATCGCTGATGGTCTAGATTACATTCATAACTTCACAGCTCCAGCTTATGTGCACAATAACATTAGTAGTAGCAGTATCTTACTTAACAGAGATCTAAGGGCCAAGATTGCTGATTTCAGCCTGGCGAACTCAGCTGAGAACGAAGGGAAGTCAAGTTCATCTATGAAATCTGTCAAGGGAAGAAATGGCTACTTGGCACCTGAGTACCTTGAAGCTGGTCAGGTTACTCCAAAAATAGATATCTATGCATTTGGAGTCATTCTGTTGGAGATAATTACAGGAAAAGGGGCTGTTTTCGAGCAGGATGGAAAAGAAGTATTTTTATCGGAGACTGTGCTTGGAATTATGGATGAAGAATCTAACATTCAAGAATTTGCAGATTCCAGGCTACAAGTTAAGCACCCTCTTGGTTACATAATTCAACAGACTGATCTTGTGCTTCGATTGGTGAAACTATGTGCAGCATGCTTGAAGACAGAACCTGAAGGAAGACCAACTGCTGCAGAAATAATATCTACCTTAATGAAAATCCAGTCAGATGTACAAAACTAGACAACTTGGGAACAGAATGAATAAGTGCTCATATGTTATATTCAGACAGGTTTCAGTAGTGAACTTTTGTTTCTTAAATGTAAAGTTATGACTTAGCTGTGGCCTCTGTAATGTTCATTTAATTGCACTTCCCTTTTCTCTCATTTTTTTTTTGTTTGGAATGATTGAAGTCACTTCTTGACAGAAGCGACTCTACAGGATTTACAATAGTAACTGTTGAAAAGAAATACAGGGAATAACTAGACGCGAGGACTCCAATTTACAATATATTGTGGAGAGAACTCATCGTTCACATTGCTTTATTCTCCAAAGCGTATCAATACACTAGTAGAATACGTTCACTGTACATCTTTTTATGTCAACGGGATATTACTGGACTGATGATCTGAACGGACTCCTCTGCTTCACCAGGACCCAAAGAACTTTATATATTTTCAAATCTGAGTGACTAAGCATAGGCTCTTAGTAATGGACGTCGGTATTATGATAAGGAGGAAGAAGAGGCATGCTCGTGGTCGACCGAGGATTAGATGGGGAGCCTTAACTAAGGATAAAGCCCAGGAATTGGAGGGGAGGTTATCAGCTATGGGAGCCTGGAGGAGTAGTGGGGACGCGAGCGCTATGTGGTCAACGACGGCGAACTATGTTAGGGAGGTGGCGAGAGAGGTGCTAGGGGTATCGAAGGGGTTACTCTGGCAGGCACCAAGGCGACTGGTGGTGGAATGACGTAGTCCAAGGCTAAATGGAGGCGAAGAAGGTAGCGTATATGAAGTTGGCAGGGAGCACAAGCGAGGAGGAGAGGATAGCGAATAGAGAGAGGTAGGGGTGTTCATGGTTCGGTTTGGGTTGGTTTTTCCCTAAAAAGAAACCAAACCAAGTAAGTCGGTTTTTCAAATATTGGAACCAAACCAAACCAATTAAGTCGGTTTTTTATCGATTCGGTTTTTGTTGGTTTTTGTCGGTTTTTCGGTTATTTATCGGTTTTTTTCTTAAATATGAGATATACACTACCAAATACATATTCCGACGACTATATTTTCAACGTAACACTATCAAATCAATTGCTCTTTGAGAAATCTATCATTTACCAAGATATATTGATGATAATTGAAGTAAATAGTGATGAATAATTTAAGTACTCAATTAAAAATTAATTTTTTTATCATGAAATAAATTCTTGTACTTAGCAAAAGAAAACTACCAATCAAACTAGAATGTAAAGGCAAAGAATTAGATTATTATAATAGCAAAGAACTAGACTAAAAATACAAACGACTAATATGTACGATAAAAATTTAGAAACTTTATATAAAAATACATATATATAGGTGTAATAATAAATTTAAATAGCTACTTTTATAGTCGGTTTGGTTCGGTTTTTTTCGGTTATTTTTTTATTAAAACCAAAACCAAACCAAATTTGATCGGTTTTTAAAATTCAAAATCAAAACCAAACCAAACCTAAAAAGTATCGATTTTTTTGGTCGGTTTGGTTTGGTTTTCGGTTTGGTTCGGTTTTTCGTGTTTTCATGAACACCCCTAGAGAGAGGTACAAGGTAGCGAGGAAGGAGGCAAAGCTGGCAGTCACGGAGGCTAAGAATGCAGTTGGTTGTCTGTACGAGGAATTGGGGGAAAAAGAAGTTGTTTCGGCTGGCTAAGGCAAGGGAGAGGAAGGCTCGGGACCTGGACCAAGTAAGGTGCATCAAAGACGAGGACGGTAGAGTATTGATGGAGTCCCAGATTCAGCAGAGATGCCAGACGTATTTTCATGGTCTTCTAAATGAGGAGGGGGACCGGGATATAGTGCTAGGGGATTTGGGGCATTCGAAGAGTCTCCGAGACTTTAGGTATTGCAGGCGCATTAAGGTGGAGGAGGTCGCGTGGGATTTGCGTAAGATGAGTAGGGGTAGAGCGCACGGGCCAGGCGAAATCCCGGTTGAGTTTTGGAAGTGTGTTGGTAAAGCAGGCTTGGAGTGGCTGACCAGGTTGTTCAATGAAATTTTAGGACGAAGAGGATGCCGGATGAGTGGAGGTGGAGTACACTGGTACGTGGAGGTGGAGTACACTGGTACCGTTGTACAAGAAAAAAGGTAATATCCAGTGTTTAACAATTATAGGGGTATCAAGTTACTGAGTCATACCATGAAAGTTTGGGAGAGGGTGGTAGAGGTGAGGGTGAGGAAGATGGTGTCTATATCCGATAACCAGTTTGGGTTCATGCCGGGTCGCTCGACTACGAAAGCTATCCACCTTATTAGGAGGTTGGTGGAACAGTACATGGATAAGAAGAAGGATATGCACATGGTGTTTATCGACTTGGAGAAAACATATGACAAGGTCCCTAGGGAGGTGCTCTGGAGATGTCTTGAGGCAAAGGGTGTGCCGATAGCCTACATCAGAACGACCAAGGACTTGTATGATGGAGCTAAGACTAAGGTTAGGACTGTGGGAGGCAACTCGGAGCATTTCCCGGTTGTTATGGGATTACACCAAGGCTCTGCGCTTAGCCTGTTCTTATTTGTGTTGGTGATGGATGCATTAACAAACCATATTCAAGGGGATGTGCCATGGTGTATGTTATTCGCTGATGACATAGTCCTAATTGATGAGACGCGAGACGGTGTTAACAAGAGGTTGGAGGCCTGGAGGCAGGCCCTCGAGTCTAAAGGTTTCAAGTTGAGCAGGACTAAGACAGAGTACCTGGAGTGTAAGTTCAGCGCTGAGTCAAGGAAGTAGGCAGGGACGTGAGGCTTGGATCACAGGTCATCCCCAAGAGAGGTAGTTTCAAGTACCTTGGGTCGGTTATTCAAGGGGACGGAGATCGACGAGGACGTCACTCACCGTATAGGGGCAGGCTGGATGAAATGGAGGCTAGCATCTAGAGTCTTGCGTGACAAATAAATGCAATCGATACTCAAAGGGAAGTTTTATAGAGTTGTGGTTAGACCGGCCATGTTGTACAGGGCAGAGTGTTGGCCGGTCAAGAACTCTCATATCCAGAAGATAAAGGTAGCAGAGATGGGGATGTTGAGGTGGATCTGCGGGCACACTAGGACGGATAAGTTTAGGAATGAGAATATTCGGGAGAAGGTGAACGTGGCCCCTGTGGATGACAAGATACGAGAAGCGAGGCTCAGATGGTTCGGGCACGTGCGGAGGAGAAGCCTTGATGCCTCGGTGAGGAGGTGTGAGCGGTTGGCTTTGGTGCGTACGAGGAGAGGTAGAGGGCGACCTAAGAAGTATTTGGGTGAGGTGATCAGGCAGGACATGGCACGACTGCAGATTTCCAAGGACATGACCCTTGATATGAAGGTCTGGAGGTCAAGCATTAGGGGTGTAGGCTAGGGGGTAGTCGAGCTTTTTCTATTTCAAACCGGTGGTGAGGCAGGTTTGATAGGGTTGATCTTAGATGGTTAAGGGTTAATGTTGAGTCCACACTATCCTTTCTGTTTATCATAGCCCCGGGACTTAATTACTGGGTATTGTTATTGCATGTCATCTATTTTATGGTTTTTTATGCTTCTATTACTATTTTTATGGTTTCTGCTGACGTTGCTGATGAATTGTCTCTTCTTGTTTTATTTCCGTCTTCCTGAGCCGAGGGTCTATCGGAAACAGTCTCTTTGCCCCATCGGGATATGGGTAAGGTCTGGATACACACTAGCCTCCCCAGACCCCACTTTGTGGGATTTTACTGGTTCGTTGTTGTTGTTGTTGTTGAGGGACTAAGAATACTGAGATGGAAGACAATATCTGTCATCTTTGGCCTCTGCTGACTTTTCTTATGTACACGCTGTGTCAGGATCGAAATAATCAGGTGTCATGCGGAAGTTAGTAAAGCAAACCTTGAAAGATGATACATTAGTAACAAAAGAGAAATATATCAAAAGAGATAAATTTTTGACGTGGTTCGATCAATTGGCCTATGTCCACGGGCGAAGATGAGCAATCCACTATATGAAAGAGAGTACAAAAATATCGAGAACAACCTCACAAAGAGGCAAGCTAACACTTATCCCGGAATTCTCTCCCTAAACAAGACTCTCAAACCCATTATGGCTATATTGTGGATGCTACTGAACGAGAAAAAATGACCCTTAATTTACAGAAGTCAAAACTTTCTCCTCCAAATAAAGAACTAGCAAAATATGGAAGAATTATATTTTTCTTGTCATAAAAGGAAAAAATAATTATGATAAATATGTTACACTTCCTTCAACGAATAGAAAAACCAAATATGATAAGAAAATCAGAACAAACATCTAATACGATGCCACGGCAGCTAGATTTAGAGCACCATTAAAAGGGTAAAAACTTAAATGTGTATGTTCATGCACGTACTGCTAAGCATTTGCAATTTCCAAGGCCACGTGTAACCCTTGACTCAATCCTAAAGTAACTGAAATCAATTTAAATGAATACTCTCAGTCTGGTAGATTATTTATGCATCGACTCCCTCAACCTACAGCAGCTCTCCTCCTTTGTTCTAATTTAGAACCGACTATATGAAACTCACATGGGTGAAATTAGCAGAAGAAGTATTAAAAGGGCAGTTCGGTGCACTAAGCTCGCTCGAACCCGTGACCTCCTGGTCACATGGCAGCAACTTTACCAGTTACGCCAAGGCTCCCCTTCTAGCTGAAGAAGCATTATCTACCAAAATATGCTGAGGTTTGCTGCTTAAATGGAGTCAACCAGGATTAGACCATCACTCTTCCTCTTCTGCAAGGTAAAAAAAAAAGAAGCACTCTTGGAGACTGGAAAAAGATGATTCAGCATCACTATGTTTAGGTTTCCTTTATATGAACAAGTATACAACTTAAAGTATCGAAGTAATGTGCATCTTATAGATGCATTTGCTCTTTACCTTTTCATTATTGTATTATCATTATGATGATTATCACCTCTGTATGGTATTTGGTCCTATAAAACTAGAATCGAGTTGAAGTGGAAGCACTCAGAGTCACTGAATAATTTAACAAGGGAAGGTTCCTGTAAGCTTGATATGGTCAAGTGTTGCCTTGAGGCCATACTTGAGCACTGCCTTATTGCCTTCTCTGAATCCATCCCCATAAGCTGCTGAGGTATCTGATTCAATCTGGTGCTTGAAAAAATCACCCAATTTCTTCTCAAACTCGGAACGTTTCCCTTTCTTTGATGAAGTAGTAGATGGTGATGAAGAGGATGATGAGGACGCCGAGGAAGATGCAGAAGTACTATTACTGCCAGAACCAGCTATAATTTCAGAGTCCAACCACATGTGAGCTAATACTTGGCAGATACCTTCTTCAACTTCTGGACTTAGACTCGGATAACCTACGATCATTTAAATGGAAACACCTATCTTCAGAATAATAAGTAATAACAGAGAAATGGCATCATATACAAGTTTTATTAGAAATAAAAGATCCACCTTTAAGCCGGAGCCATGCATGCATCATTTCATGAGCCAGAATTGAACCAGTCAATAACCTGGACAAACATGAAGTGTAAGTAAATTTGTTTCGAGATAGAGTGCAGTAACATTTACTCTTTGACCATTGTATTGGAAATGGACAAAAGAGTGGCATTTATTACCTAGGGAGACCATACAAGATTAAAATAGCTGTCACTTCACATCGTCGAATTAACCTGTAAGGCTCTGTAAACATATCTAAAATCCGATAACCACCAATTTTTGGCCGCCTTGAAATCTGAAATATTTGTTTGGATAAAGACAAATTTCAATTTGAACAATATAATGCATTTAAGAGAAGTGTATAAAACGGGAAGATTCATACAGTGCTAATGGTCTGTTCTTCAGAGAGGCAGAGTCCTCGAGTCTCAGGCATGTGATGATGACCCTATTATCAATAGGAACAAATGAAATTTGGAAGTTAAGTAACCGCTTTCTCAACCTCCGAATAGTGTTTTAAGAACTGGATAATTCTGAGCATAAGCCTCACATTTTTTTCTCCTTCCATTGCTTCATTTAAGGCTTGTCTTTCCACTAGAAGCAAAGGAATTTGCTGCTCCACTTTCATATTTAAACCTTCATAAAATTCTTGTATCTCAAGATAAAGGGGCTGACATTCATGAGTATCCATTATTGCAGAGTCCAAGCACTCTAGACACAGCTTCCTACCATCATCATTTATCAGATATCTGGCATCTACGGGCTACAAAATTTAGAAATCCTAACATTATTCAACGGGCACAAGAAAAAGAATGTCGCAAATTGTGACATATATTCAGGTTTAGTAATATTCCTATTCGTTCTGCTAATCTTTTATGACAGATATGAAATTTTACATACTCAAAACAATGTCAAAAACCAAAAAGAAAATGTAGCAGTAGTATACTATCAACTAACCTCCATTCTCTCACAACTGCAACAACGAGGTGTCCCATCAGTTTCATGTGATGGGCAATACTTCTGAAGCCAGAAAGGATGAGCCCTATATTCAATTAGACCAGCCGGATTTGTTGGAATCTAAACAAAATAAAGGCAAGATACAGAAAATCTGGTTAGTCATAGTTTACCAGACAATGAAGCTGTTTGATACAGTAAAGTTCACTATGCAATACCACAATAATAAAATGTCAATCGCAGCCCCCCAAAGAAAAAGAATGAATTCCACAAAACCTCTGAAGGCATCTCCCTGAGGATTACTCGAGTCAAGCGGAAATTAAATTAAGGGCTCAATTTTGCTCATATCCATATATAAGAATAGTAGTTCTAGTTGCTTTGCCTTCTCTTTTGTTCTTTTCTTTTTCCTGATCTTCTTCTCTAGTAGAATCAGTAGACTGTGTGAATGCAACAACGAAATGAAATTGCGTTTGTCTGGTTAAAGTGGAGCAGTTGCAACAGCCTAAAATATGGAGCAGAAACATTTCATATGCTTGCTAAGTATTTCGATGGCAAATAAAACATACAACAAGATCAAATAATAGACAGAAAAAGCTTCTTGAGGAAGGCCACTCTTATATCTGATCTAAAGTAGTAAATATGGAGATTGGAACTAGGAAGAATGTGATGCTGGTTAGAAGATCCAAAAGAATAACGAAAAGCGCAAATTTGGATATGAATGAACACTTACGAAGTTCTTGCAAACATCACATTTTGGGTGATGCTGTTCTTTGTAGCATGATTTATGGTATGGACGGTTATCTGACATCGAAAACTGAAAAAAGAAGAAGATAAAGTTGCTTTTATATTCAACAATTCAAGGTAGTAATAACTGAAAGAACCATCGGATAAAACCTATTTTGAAGTATTTGAGTATATTTAGACCTCATAGTCAGAAATCGGTTGATTGCAACCATGGCAACGGAAACATTCTGCATGCCAAACAGCTCCCATGCAACTTAAATATCTTCCATGACCAATTTCAGCATTACAACCGGCACAGACCCTACACTCAGACAAATTGGTACATAAGGTAGTCTGTACACAGATCTGAAAGAAAATAAAGTTTGAAACGACAAAGAGGCTCTGAGAAATCTTATATTGCCAAGAAATATAGATGAGTCCAGGGCACATGCAGATTTATATGCAAAGATACAACTCTAAGGGCTTGCTGGAGCTCTTTACTCTGTTGAAATGCAAGAGAAAATGAAGAAGCTGTTCAGAGTACAAGAAATTAACCATCTAGTTTTCGGTATGATTTGAGACATCACTCCTTTGAGTTTGTGAAAATAAATTTACATACATATTTGGAGGCAATTCCAAGTAAATAGCGTATATATACATCTCAGACCACCGCTCTTCTTTAACATACGACTGCCTCTTCCATTCTTCTTTAAGTGTTTAAAGCATCAGTCTCAGCCATGATGCCAGAGAAAGATTGAAGCAGAAGGAAGAGTTTATAAGTTAAGAAAAACATGATGAGAATTTTTTTTTAACAATTCAATTAACAAAGGAAATAGTCAAAATAATTTTGCTCCAGAGAATAGAAGAGGTGTTACCTATATCCGTGTGGATACGAGTGTGAGACTGGTGGAAAGAAACTTCCATAATCATATCGAGGTGGAGACGACTCCACATTCAAACTTTCCTGAAGAGCCTTGGCAAGCGCCTCATCTTCCTCCAAGTTGGGTTCACTCTCTATTAAGTAGTGAGACAAGATTAAGATATACATGATTAGCAATTAACCACCAATATACTAGAACTGGGTAAGAAATTATAGGTTTGCCTAGATACTATATAACCCCTAAAAACACAATTCAAGTTTAAGAAATCAGATTGCTTGTGCATTTATAACCACACAGATTCTCCAAAGAAAGTTTAGGATAAAATTTGCAGGGCCACCTCAATAGGGTGAGCATTTTTCACACTTTTTAGATCTGCTATGAAGTTCGATAATGAAGTCAACGAGAAATTATCGAGTGGAAACAAGAAGAAAGTTTCTTTGTTGTTTACATTATCGTTATTCATCAGATGATGTAGACAATCAGAAGTTCAATCTTTATACATGGATGACATCCATATCGAATCCTAGTCATGCTACTTACCGATTACTTTTTTCCCTTTCTGATCCTCTTCGGCTAGAGAAAGTGCAATGGCACGATCAATTTCTTCATTATCGAAATCTGACAATGCATCCTACACTCAGTCCGTATTATCATATTCAGTTAGCAAGGGAAAGCCTTATTTAAGAGTTAGAACTTTCAGAGCATTTTCTCAACAACACAGCTTGGGAAAATGCTCAGTTTCTCCTGCACCAAGCAGCTATAATAAACAGAACAACTTGAAAGAGATGAAGAAAAAAAGTTAAGCAAATTAGCAATCGAACACTAATTACCACTGAAGCAGTTGGTCCCTCCCAAATTGTACTGTCCTCGTACCCTCCCTGATATTGCCCTCCTTCGTGCCCCAAATGATATTGTCCTCCGTCATAGCCCCCATGATATTGCCCACTCTCATACCCCCCATGATATTGCCCACCAGAGATCCTGTGAGTGGAACCTCCAAATATCTTTTCTAGCCAGCCCATAACACAAATGACGTCAGTTATATGCCTCAATCCCAAAGCAAGTTGGTGTTAGCTATATGAATCTGGAACCGGTTTGTTGGCAATAAAAACCTGCAAAGCCAAATAAGGATATCAATTAGGTTACAATAGAATTGTTTGTGGACTGGATCATCCATATCTGCTAGTAATCTCAAACGGATCCTATAACTATAAGCAACAAAACTAATATGAGCTTTGCAGAGATGGAACTGCACGTACAAATAGCAAATCATCTACAAAGAATGACCACGAACACAAGCCGATAATCAGCTGATAAAAAAGGATGATCTTTTCGAAAATTGCAATAAAATGATCAGCATAATATGTTGCAATATATCAATCAATCAATCAAACCCAGTGAAATCCCACAAGCGGGTTCTCGGGAGGATAGTGTGTACAAGAAACTCATAATAAATAAGATGCCCCATGAAAACATTAAGCCAGTGAAAACTCATCACTGAACAACGACCACCCACCAACCGTCAAAAAAACAACCGACTATTGATTTGAGGTCTAATATGAATTACTCTGATCCAAGTTAAAAGAAACAGAAAATTCATACAACAAACTGTACAAAGGAACAGAGAAGAGTCGTTATGTTTTTGGAATCTCACTTCTAAAAAGTTAAAAGAATCAGCACAATTTTGAAGGAATCTGATGAATAAGGAGCAGACAAAGCATCAAATTCAGTTTGAAGGTAGGTCATGCCCCTGAATTGGAGAGATAACCATATCCCCCACCACCACCATTCTACACAAGAATAATAAAGAAAAACTTGGGAAAATTACAACAACAAAAAAAGTGAAAGATCAAATCACAGCAGTGGGCAGTGGGGAATTCTTGTTGGCAGGTTCAGAGGAACATTCTAGTGGAAGTGTGAAAAGATAAAAAGTAAGCCAGAAAGGGAGAAACCAAATAAAGGACTTGAATTCCACGCAAAAATGGACCCAAAAAAAATTAAAAAAGTTTAAAACTTTTGCAAAGTACAGTAATTAGATCGGTACCTTCCTCAAAAAATGATTCAAGGGGGGTAAGAAAAAAAAATCCGATTTTTCAAAACTGAAAAGTTTTGTGCTTTTCTTGGAAGTGGGACCTTTGGTCCATTATAATTTGATATCATCAGTCCACAATATGTCAAAAACCCATAATTCATGTGTTAACCTTTCTTATTGAGAATGCGTCAGCAGAAAAAGAGAAGACGATTTTTGGGTCATTTTCCATACTGTTGATTGTTTTGGCTTTTTGCTCCAAGTGGGTACTGTGCAGTGGACTTGATTAAGTCTTGCATTTGCTTTGCTTTTTTGGTGTAAAATGAAATGGAGGAGAATTTTCTAGTTTAATCCAAAGTGAAGATTTTGAGTGGCATTTTTAGGATGTGTGGCAGGTGGAAAGGACAAATCAAAGCTCAGAAAATTGACAAGTGGCCAAATGAAGATCGCATCTCAAAGTGGCTGCTATCTAACTTTGTTTAACGTTCTGACACCAAGTGCCTGTCTACTACTGTCTATATTGTCCTATAAAATCAACTTTGCTTTTTCCAACAATTTTCACTCTGCTCCTGTAATTTTAGCTGCTGCTCTGGTTTTGAATTTAAAAACATCCAGTTCCTGTTTGCCACTTGATTACTTCTCCACGACGCACGTAATATTAAGTGTGCGTTTGGACATAAGAATTGTAAAATTCTGGAAAAAAAATGAATTTAAAGTTTGAAAATTAGGACCTATTTGACCATAGATTTTATCAAAATATATTTGGGTTTTTTTGGCAAACGCATGTTTGTTCATAAATTTTATCTACATTTTGACAAATTTTCAAAATCCAAAACACAAATTGCAAGAGCTGGTTTTGGCCCAAAATATCACAATTATATTTTTTAAAAATTGTCCAAACTTTTTTATTTTAAAAAAGGAACACCCATTTATTATTTTGTAATAATGTTGCTTCGCATTCCCAATCATCTGATAGTGTATTATGTAGTTCATTATAAAAATGATAATTTTGTACTAATTTATTTATGTTCAGGACTATAGTTTGCAATAATATCATGAATGTTATTGATAAAAGTATTGTTGGGTATTTGCGATAGTTTTTAGAACTTGTAGGTATAAGTCATGTTTCATGTTTTTTCAAAAAAACAAAATGAAATATGTTTTGAAAACATATGTCCAAACACATTTTCATCTTCAAACAAACTTCACTCAAATCAGATTATTCAAAACAAATTTAGGAATATATGGCCAAACGTTAGTTTAGTGTTTGAACATAAATATAATTTTTGGGTTATTTTTTATTTTTTGTGAGTGATGTGAGTAAAAATTTTGAAAAACAGTTTTTTAAAGGTGAGAAATATTTCATGGCTAAACGGGCTCTAATAAGTTACTAACTGAACCAAGTTTTATCTTCTTTTTTTTTTTTAGTTAGTTGTGAGAAAGAACTACTCAACTTATAACTTTTTTTTATAATAATAATAATTATATAATGTCTGGATTAGTTTGCTGCACCTTAGCTTTGTTACCTAGTATATCAACTAGCAAAATTTAGACATACGAAAGAGCTTGCGTACTAATCTTGAGTGAAATTTGAAGCCATCACTCATAATTTTCACCCATTTTATTATACTTTTTAGTTTCGGTTTTATATTGGTTTTAATCATCGAAAAATAAAATTTCCTATTTAGAGAAATATGTTGCTTTTTTTTGTCTTGCTACAACAACAAAAAGTAGGTCATGTATATTAGAACGGTTAGGCAACTAGGAATGCATATAAATAATCTGTCTAACTCGATGAAAAAAAGATTCTGTCTAACTACCAAATGCGGTTGTGTTGCAGTTGCAGGGTTTTTGCAACCCGCAAAATTTTCAACCCCGCCCCGCATAGAATTTTTATCTGTTCTAACCCGCCCCACACGCCCCGCATCAAAGTCTTTTTTTCCCCCTTTTTCATTTGTTATTTTTTTTTCCTTCTGTATTTCTTCTTTGCTTTTCGATTTTTTGCTTTGTTTCCTTCTAAACAATTTGTGTCAAAAAAGAATTTGTTAGTTATTACTGGAAATCATTCTCCTATAAAATATTCAAACTATTATCCCATATTTAATTTTTTCAGTCAATATATAGGTGTAATTGTGAACCATAATACTCCGAAAATAAAACCACCAGAACACTTATATTCTATAATGGTCCATTTGTATATACCATACATACGTTAATTACTTTTATACTCAATCAAACATTGAAAATTAACGAAATGTAATGTTGTAGTATATATACCTCAGAAACTACACTTTTTATTCTATTTTACGTGATCTAGTTATATTTGGAGAGACAAAGAAAAATTTTTTACCACATTTTTCTTCATATACTTATCAAATATTTTAAATTGTTAACTATTGTAACTTTGGTACTTGTATTTTTTTTATATATGTAAAAAAAATATTTTTTTATTTTTCAGATTATTGCCAAATTTCCAGATTATTGCGAAAAAATTTATTTTTAATTTTGTAAAGATTTTATTTGAGTTCATACCGAAAATCAGATAATTTGTCCATCGTACTCTAAATCAAGTCATATAAAGTGAAATGGAAGGAGTACTTTTTAACTTCCGAGATGTCTACTTTTGGATTCACATTGGACATTTTTATCATTGCTTAAATAAATAAAGAATTTAGTTTGAAAATTCTGAAATGATACTAGTCTTCATGGAATAACAATAAGAAATTACTCTGTTTTATCTATTTGCATTGTCGAATCAAATAAATAGTATATTCAAATATATTATAGCAAACTTGATATTTTCCATCATTGTAGCCTCGTAACATGTTTTCCTTTGGTTATAGCAATTAGGTAGCATGCCCTCCTAAAAGTAAATTGTAAATAGAAAGAATAGATTATGCAGCTTCAGTTTTGTATTTAGCGTGAACAAGGAGAAACCGATTTAGCCCCGCAACCGCTAGAATTTGAAATTTTTTCCATTTCAATCCGCCCCGCATAAGCCTGAACCCGCCCCGCATTGCATAGGCCTAAATCTATCCCATCCCATTGCCATCCGCTGAATGGATAGGATTTCTTTTTCTTTAATTAGAGATTTCGAATTTGAGTTTTAATTATCAGGAAATGTTCTCAAATCTGAATTATTAGTCGGGTTAAAGGAGTATTAGATATCAAGTGAGAAACCAAATAGGAGTAAAAAATTTGCCTAAGATATGCAAGAAGAAATTGGAGTCTGTTCTTCTTTTCCCTTTTGATGGGGTTAGGGATCAAAACAATCTCTCTCTCTAGTTTAAATTTACGAATAATAACCTTAAATTCTAGTGGTACTCTCTCAGTAACTCAGCCCTGTTTCAACTTTAATTAAATTTTAGTTTGTTTGCCCCCAACAGTTATTGTTCCAATTTGTTATTACTGGAGTACTATTTTAATCTTCAGGTGACATTATCAATCAATTCGTTGATCTTTCTCACACTTCAATTTAATATTTAATAATCTGTTGTACCAAATTCAATATAATATCATTTTATTGAACTTATATATGTGTGTGTGTGTGTGGGGATTGTGGGGGGGGGGGGGGTGAGAATCTACGCAGATCAATTAAAATACAGCGAAGGCGGAATTTAATTAACTCATAGAAGATAGTCAATGATTTCTCATGCCAGGCCAAAATTGTGTCTAGCTACTATCCGATTGTTTATTTATTTATTTTTTGGGTAAAAAAGCTGCACAGCCGTGATTACTGCCTTCAAAACAAAAAACAAAAAAGATTATACCAATGAGGATCAGTTGAAAGACATGATAATGTTAGAAAAACGTATAGAAAATTGGTATGGCTGTAAAGATACTAAGTGCTACGTTTTCTATTTTGGAAGTGTTATCCAATGTTTTGCTGATCAATATACTCCCAGAGAGTATCAAAAGAAAAAACTTAGTACATAGTCAAAACTCAATGATCACAATACAAAATCGTGTATACGAGCTGATCAAATGCCGTTTCCCAGTTTGGTCTTATGTGATGTTGTCAAACGTGTACACAGTGGCGAAGCCAGGAATTTCGCTGAGGATGTTCAAGGTTTATATACACATATAAAAAATAATTTGTAACCTATATACGTAATATAAGTTTCTATATTCACAGGGGCGGCTCAATCAATATGGTGGCCTAAAGCCAAACCTTAATAAAAGGCATAAACTATATTCAATAAATTTTTTTTTTACATTTTATGTGAAATAGTTTAAAAACCTTTCTATCTTTTATATATAAGGAAGAATAAAAAAGAATATGCAACTCAAGTTATTCAATACCCTTGTTATTTGGCAGAAATGATATATAGTATGAGGAGGAAAAAAAAAGAGAAGTTGATTTTATAAAGAACAGGAATTAAATTAACTATATATTAAAGATAGCAAAAAATACTACAAAATTTTTCCTTTTCAGTCACTTGTTGGCTTGACTGCCTTCCAACTAAGACGTGAGAACTAAAATAACATTTGATTTATGTGAGGAAAAATTAACGAGCTAGAGTAGTTTTGATTACAAGATATATGTCACTGAATTACTACATCTACTTCAACTTGTGATAAAAATTTAATTATACAAAATTTAATTTGTTATATAGTAATACTAATTTTGAGGCCTTAAATTATTGGGGGTCTAAAGCAAGTGCTTGACTTGCTTTAGGCTTGAGCCGACGCTGTATATTCACAATATATATTTTTAATACAAGGCATTCAGTTGGCTACCCTGCGGTGTATGTGGCTACGCCACTGTATGTACATAACATACCTCCAAACGCGTTTTGTGATATTTGATACTACTTAAGAATTAGGGACTAAAGTGTTAATAGAAAGAGTTAGAAGACAAGATTGTAAAGATAGAAGAGTTAGGAAGTTAGTTTAGTTAAAAGGATCAGTTATTGATCCAACAGTAATAACCGACAAT